GTTTTTAATGCTTAAGCAGCGCGTCGCCGTCGCTGCCTGTAGAGAGCTACAGCTTGAACCAAAGAGCGAGTCACGAAAGAGAGTGGGTAAGGCAGATGAAGACGGCACTCATATAGCTACTCATACACTCACACACACACACACACACACACACACACAGGCGCTCACAGTTATTTTCTTTGCTCAGTTCGCTTCTTGCTGCGTTAGTTGGCAACTTTTATTTGTGGTTTTTTTATGTAAATGCGCCCAAGTGATAAGGCATCTTTTCGGCTACTGCAGCGAGCTTTGCGGCGGCTGACAACTGGCGGCGGGCGGTAGCAAAGGGGAGCGACTGTTGCTGTCATGTATCCGAGAGCAGCAACATGAACATGTTGCCAAATGCCATTTTTGTAGCTCTTGTTGTCGCCAGTTGCCGTTGTTGTTGCCGTTGTTGTTGGATGGAAATTAAATTTCAGTGACTTTGTTGTTTATTTGCAGCATGGGACTTGGCAATGAGCTTGCAGGGTAAGGGTATTGTGACTTTCGAATTGGCTTGGCAAAGGCTTCGTCAAGGTGGACAATGTATATAAAGCTAATTATTCCAAGGGGCACGTAATTAGTTAAAGGTAAATGTTAAAGGCAAAAAGGCAAAAAGCTGTGTTGTAGAAAATGCCTCATCATTCAAGTTGGGATATGTGTAGACAAATTTGGGTTAAGAGGGAGTTAATTGTGTAAATTACTCTTAAGTATATTGTGTAAAGAGAAAAAATACTCATTTCAAAATCAAATCAAATATAAATAATGAGCTTATTAATATCACAATATAATTTGTAGGGCATGTAAAATTCGTTCTTCTTAGCATAAAATTTAATCTCGCTCTCTCTCTCTCTCTCCCTCTCCCTCTCTTACTCTCTTTTGAGCAGTGCTCGGCCAGGCATTTACTATGCCAGAGTGCTCTTCATGTGCTCTGTATGTGTAAATTAGAGAAAATTTACGTTTATTATTATTTTTAGTGGCAGTCGCTCGTCATAGTCTGTGCCCAGGCACAACCCCCGCCCTTCCACTCCACACCCCAGCCCCGCCCGACCCAACTGTCGTCCATTGTGTCGTGGGCTCATCCCAACTCATCTGCCTGGCCATCTGTATTTTATTTATGTATGTTTTCAGGACTCGCATCTCTCAGCTCAGCTCTTGCTGTCCTCCTTTGTGTATATGCCGCGCTCATGTGTAGACGCAGATAACGTGGCAACTACCTCCCAGGGGGAAGCGGTGGGGGGGGGTGGTGGTGGTGGTATGAGGCGTGGACCAGAGACAGCTTTGAATATGAAATGCGAGTGCAACTAAGGACTCTGCATGATAATTATGGGCGCTGCAGGCGATAATTGCCCACTAAACGCCCCATAATCACATGTGTGTGTGTGTGTGCGTGTGTGTGTGTGTGAGTCCAACAAAATGCCGCAAAACCTCAGGCTTTACCGAAGCGAAAAACCGCAGTCGAAAAGTTTGGTCAGGCCTATGGAATAGCTGGTAAACGAAAGACTCTTGACGCGTCTCAGAAATTATTCATGGGAAGAGTTCAGCCAGGCACTTGAGGCGAACTTTTGCTCCATGTTTAATTGCCGGGCGCCACATTAACAAAAACAACAACAACAACAACAACAACAGCCGCAAGGCGCTATAACCATATAAAAGATATTAAAAAATTTAGTGGGCCGCTCGGGCAACAGTTGAGTAACAATTTCCATCCAAGCTGCGCGCTCCTTGGCTAAAAAAAGGCAGGAAGAAAAGGCAACACCGAAGATTAAATACTCTTGTGGCATTTTTACAAGCGCGAAGCTTGGTTATACGCAGGACGATAACATGGAAGATGCTTGATAAAAACTTGAAAATATATAAGAGAAGCTACAGGTCACATTTGCTGACTCCAGCTCTTAAAACCTGAAATCAGGATTTCGATATCGATCAGTAAATAAAAGATATCTCTTCTATATACATCGCTCTCCATTCTAGAACGTAGAAATTTGGTAACTCTGGCTATTAAAATCTCTAGCTCAGAAAACAGTATTTCGATATCGATTATTATCAGCGCAGATTATCGATTGTCGGAAACAAAATCGTTCAGTCTCTAGCTCTAACAGACTCGGAGTTCATACACACGGAGAGACAGCTGGACTCGGCTATGCTGATCAAGTAAATATGTATATAGCGTAGGAGACGCTTCCTTGTGTCTGTCACTTACAATGGACCCTTTGTAAGGTTTTCATGCAAGTGCTTTGTTTTCTATCGATCAGCTATATGATATAGTGTTCCGATTCGGTTAAATCAAAAATGAAGAGACGCCTTGGGCGCGTTACCAATTTCATAACAACTTAATAATACCCTCCACAAGGGCATAAAAACTTTACTCACTTTCTCATTTAATCCTTAAGTTGTTTGGTGGGCAGCAGGAGGGTTTGTCTTTTTATGCTTCCTTATTGCTGTCATTTTTGTGGCGGCAGCTTTGTCATTTTAAAGGCAACATTATTGGCTTCAGCAGATAAGTCCGGACCGTAAACTATTTTTCTTACATTTACGTGACGAGTGAGGAATACCGAATACGGAATACGGAATACGGAATAAAGGATGCAGGATGAGTGCCAGGGCTGGGCAACGGCAGGGCCAACAAATGCGAAAAATATTATGCCTTATCCATTTTAATAGTCAATCGTTTTGCCATTTCGCTCGTGCAGCCGCAAAACAGAGTGCAAAAAAAAAAAAGAAAATATTGAATTAATTTTATTTTAATGCGCGTTGCGTTTGCTGGGGATTTGCGAAGGGTTGCGAGATTGCCAATCCGCTCGACACTTGGGCTTGGGCTTGGGCCTTATCAGCGATGCAGTGTAACCAGCGTAGGTGTTGTCAGGTGTGTCGCCTGCGCATCTATCTTTTACCTTTTTGCGTTATTTATTGCAGTTTAAGTGAGTTGTCAGCCAGTGGCCGACGGCCAGCAGCGAAAGGAGCGCGGCCCCGGGCGAAATCAACGTGCGCTTGACATGCGGGCGGGCTTATATGGAGTGCCAAGCACACACACACACACACACACACACACACATACACCCACATGTTGGGTAGATAATGTGTTTTTAATTGAAAGTTAAGGCAGTTGAAAAACAGGTCTGATAGAAAAAAAAGTTTCATTTGCTTAGGTGGAAACTTTTCTTATCACTGTGGAGTTAGCCGAACTGAACCAGTATTTTGTAGCATTTCTTGCCTTTCTGTGAGCAATTCAACTTATTTTTATATTATCAATACAAATGCTGGATTACCTTAAGTTGAAAAGTAAATCAATTGCATATAATTTACGTACATTTTATGTATTTGCCTCATTTCAGTTGCACAAAAAATATGTCGCCTAAAAGCAGGCAATAAAAATTGAAAGTCAGTTGTCAAAGAAACAATCTACATTTGCTTGGGTGGAAACCTCTCGAGGTAATCGAGCAGGCCTATTATAATATAGAATGTCTTGCGTTTCAGTTAGAAATCCTATTAAAACAGTTTTGATTTACATGCAGTTGATAAGTAAATTAAATTAATTTAAGCATTGCGTATGTGTGCATTTAGCCCACTTTTGTGACACATAAAAGAAACAGCTGAAAAGTAGGCAATGAAAAATCAAAGTTCACGAAATCCATATACTCGTTTCTCTCTGTGGAAGGGCATAAGAAACGGCCCCAAAAACAAATGACCTTTCTAGCAGCGTGATACATTGATTGGCATTTAAAAAATTAATTTCAAATAATATTTAGTCAAAAAAAAAATACTTCACATTATTGCCCTTCCGCTAATTCGCCTTACACTTTATCCCTATTGGATATCTTTTCGGCGAATTCGCTGCGTGATATTCGCTTTTTGCCTGATGTATTGGAGCTTAAAGAGAGGGAGGGCGTGGCAGAGAGGCGATCACAATTGCCCAAGCTGCAAATTAGTTGCGTTTCGTTCCCTTTGAGCTGCTGTCGTCGGAGCGGCTGCATTTTTATTTCGCTTTTTTTTTCTGAAGCGTTAGAAAGTTAATTAATCAGCAGCAAATATAGATGATATTCATATCGTACAGCTTCGGAATATAATTAGTGCCTGTTAATTTATGTTAAAAACTAATTTGTAAGCCAGCCAATATCCATAATTATTGATAGTTATCAATACCCCTTCTAGCCGCATATTCGCCTAATCGCTCTAAGAGAATAAAACCCTCATTACTCTTAGTGTATTAAATAGCTTTCACACTATTTGCTCCCAAAGAGCATCTGCTTCGCTCTTAGCGGCCAGGCGCTTATTGTCTTAACTCATATATTTAGCAAAGAATGCAGTGCTAGTCGCAAACAAAAATTAAAAAAAAAAAAACTGAAAAATAATAAAACAAAAAACTGAAAACGAAATAGTTTACAAATAGTTGAGCTTGTCTAAAAATGCTGCCACTTAATGAACTACTTTAAATAATTTTCCAACTGAAAATTATTTTCATTTACTAAACTTTGCCGTCGACCGAGCAGCTATGTCCCCGCCTACAGCCCCGCCCTGTCGCGTACCGCTTACAGCCCCTGCCGTTTCAGTGGCAACTTTCGCATCGTTAACAATTTGGCAAGATTTAAAAATGTCTGCAGCGAAATTGTTGGGGGGGTGAGGATGTAGGGAGCGGGGGAGAGTTCCAAATAAAAATATCACTTTACTGTGTCGCCTCAGTCGCCAACGTCTCTGCCAAGGACGGGGTAATTTATCAAGACAAAAACCAGCGGCAGCAGTCGACAAAGAGCGGCGAGATGAGGGGAAATAGAGTACACATGGATACAGTGAAGAGAGATGGCAGCAGCAGATAAAGCAAAGCATTTCAGCAAGCACTCGTATAGGTGTGGGTGAGCATGGATGTAGCGGGTGGAGGAAGGTGTGGGTAAGGGTAAGCAACTTTGGTGAGCTAGCTCTCTTCTTTGGTTACTTTCTTAATTTCATTTGCGCAGCAACAGCGACGCCGACGTCAACGCAGGCAGTCGACAACTTTGCTGCTGCCTTTGCTGTTTTGTTTTTCAATTTCGCCGGGCGAAACTTTGCCGAATACATCTCAAAAGCAGCAACAGCAGCAGCAGCAGAAGCAGCAGCAGAAGCAGCAGAAGCAGCGACAACAGCAACAACAACAAAGACGTGCAAAGTTTCTATTAAAACGGATTTAATTATGTAATGGAATCATGATAAATTTCGCGCAACGTGAAAAGTGTTGGCCAAGGCTGCCAGCCAAGTACCTGGCACAAAGGCCGACGCAACCAGAACCAAAACAAGACCCAGAAACAGCAACAACACAAGAACACAGCAGCAGCTAAAACGGAAGCCCAACAACTTGGAACAAGATGAATAGATAGATGGATAGGCAGACAGCAGGTAGACAAGACAAAAAAGAAGCAACGGCATTTCAGCAAGTCGAAGACTGAATACCCTTGCTAACATTTTTTTTTGGGATTTTTTTTTTTAAATTTCCGTAAAAGGCGCTTTATTTTCGAACTATTGCTTAAGTTTATCTTTTAGATTAACTTATATGTTCTTATAAGTTCTTTAATCAAAAGTTTGGTAAAGTTATCTAAAAAATTATGTTTTTCTTGCAGCTATATGCTACAAATCATACGATTTCGACAGAATTTAAAAATGGATTAATACAAATTCTATGTGACCCGTTATATTTCTTTCGCTGCGTTACATATTTCATGAAAAATTAAGAACACCTTCTGCAATAGTATTTAAAGGTAAGTGGCTAAATTCTTTGGAGTTGTAAGCATTTTAATTTATGCGGCTTATTATTTTCCATTAGTGTGCGTGTGCCTTGAACGGGCAGCGCTTTTAAAGAGTTATTAGCCAAGTGCTCGACACTTTATCACAAATATTGTGATTCAAGTGCTTATTTTCATTTGTACCTGACGCTTTAAGTCGCCATGTGAAGTCTAGGGTAGCCGCCATCGGGCAACCAACCGCCTCTAACCATCTGCACATAGTGAAATATACGTCGTATTACAACTGAGGTACGTTAGTTCATATCAGCCACATTTTAGATGACCATTTTTAAGATGAGTCTTGAATTTGGTTAACTTCAAAGATCGGCTATTATTTTATTAATATGATAGTCAATATGATAGACTCATCTGGACTATGGTTAATTCAAAAGACCGGAGGTTAATTGTGTTACGTCTTATATAATACTAGCGGACCCGAATTTGCCTCTGCAAATCGTATAAGGTTTGACTGCGTTACGGGTGTGGAAAATTTTGACTTATGTCTGTATATCATATTTGAATTTTTTACTTAAATTTTGACTAAAAATAAAGTTGCCAGATTTGGATGCAGAATTGATCTAGAGGCCAAACCATGAACAAAAACCCAAACCTTATGAAAATCGGTTGGGTTTTGACCGAGTTAGGGGGGTGGGAAATATTGACCTATATAGAATATTTGAGGGTATCATTTTGACATGAATATTGACCAAAAATTATGTTGCCAGATTTCGATGCAGAATTGATCTAGAGGCGAAACCATGAACAAAAATCCAAACCTTATGAAAATTGGTTGAGTTTTGATCGAGTTATGGGTGTGGGAAATATTGTCCTATGTCTATACAGGATATTTGAGGGTATCATTTTGACATGAATTTTGACCAAAAATTATGTTGCCAGATTTTGATGCAGAATTGATATAGAGGCCAAACCATGAACAAAAAGCCAAACCTTATGAAAATCGGTTGAGTTTTGACCGAGTTATGGGGGTGGGAAATATTGACCTATGTCTATATAGGATATTTGAGGGTGTCCATTTTGACATGAATTTTGACCAAAAATTATGTTGCCAGATTTTGATGCAGAATTGATATAGAGGCCAAACCATGAACAAAAAGCCAAGCCTTATGAAAATCGGTTGAGTTTTGACCGAGTTATGGGGGTGGGGAATATTGACTTATGTTTATAAAGGATATTTGAGGGTATCATTTTGACATGAATTTTGACCAAAAATTATGTTGCCAGATTTTGATGCAGAATTGATATAGAGGACAAACCATGAACAAAAAACCAAACCTTATGAAAATCGGTGAAGTTTTGACCGAGTTATGGGGGTGGGAAATATTGACCTATGTCTATACAGGATATTTGAGGGTATCATTTTGACATGAATATTGACCAAAAATGATGTTGCCAGATTTCGATGCAGAATTGATCTAGAGGCGAAACCATGAACAAAAATCCAAACCTTATGAAAATTGGTTGAGTTTTGATCGAGTTATGGGTGTGGGAAATATTGTCCTATGTCTATACAGGATATTTGAGGGTATCATTTTGACATGAATTTTGACCAAAAATTATGTTGCCAGATTTTGATGCAGAATTGATATAGAGGCCAAACCATTAACAAAAAGCCAAACCTTATGAAAATCGGTTGAGTTTTGACCGAGTTATGGGGGTGGGGAATATTCACCTATGTTTATAAAGGATATTTGAGGGTATCATTTTGACATGAATTTTGACCAAAAATTATGTTGCCAGATTTTGATGCAGAATTGATATAGAGGACAAACCATGAACAAAAAACCAAACCTTATGAAAATCGGTGAAGTTTTGACCGAGTTATGGGGGTGGGAAATATTGACCTATGTCTATACAGGATATTTGAGGGTATCATTTTGACATGAATTTTGACCAAAAATTATGTTGCCAGATTTTGATGCAGAATTGATATAGAGGCCAAACCATGAACAAAAAGCCAAACCTTATGAAAATCGGTTGAGTTTTGACCGAGTTATGGGGGTGGGGAATATTGACCTATGTTTATAAAGGATATTTGAGGGTATCATTTTGACATGAATTTTGACCAAAAATTATGTTGCCAGATTTTGATGCAGAATTGATATAGAGGACAAACCATGAACAAAAAACCAAACCTTATGAAAATCGGTTAAGTTTTGACCGAGTTATGGGGGTGGGAAATATTGACCTATGTCTATACAGGATATTTGAGGGTATCATTTTGACATGAATTTTGACCAAAAATTATGTTGCCAGATTTTGATGCAGAATTGATATAGAGGCCAAACCATGAACAAAAAACCAAACCTTATGAAAATCGGTTGATTTTTGACCGAGTTATGGGGGTGTGAAATATTGACCTATGTCTATGTAGGATATTTGAGGGTGTCCATTTTGACATGAATTTTGACCAAAAATTATGTTGCCAGATTTTGATGCAGAATTGATATAGAGGCCAAACCATGAACAAAAAACCAAACCTTATGAAAATCGGTTAAGTTTTGACCGAGTTATGGGGGTGGGAAATATTGACCTATGTCTATACAGGATATTTGAGGGTATCATTTTGACATGAATTTTGACCAAAAATTATGTTGCCAGATTTTGATGCAGAATTGATATAGAGGCCAAACCATGAACAAAAAGCCAAACCTTATGAAAATCGGTTGAGTTTACCGAGTTATGGGGTGGGGAATATTGACCTATGTTTATAAAGGATATTTGAGGGTATCATTTTGACATGAATTTTGACCAAAAATTATGTTGCCAGATTTTGATGCAGAATTGATATAGAGGACAAACCATGAACAAAAAACCAAACCTTATGAAAATCGGTTAAGTTTTGACCGAGTTATGGGGGTGGGAAATATTGACCTATGTCTATACAGGATATTTGAGGGTATCATTTTGACATGAATTTTGACCAAAAATTATGTTGCCAGATTTTGATGCAGAATTGATATAGAGGCCAAACCATGAACAAAAAACCAAACCTTATGAAAATCGGTTAAGTTTTGACCGAGTTATGGGGGTGGGAAATATTGACCTATGTCTATACAGGATATTTGAGGGTATCATTTTGACATGAATTTTGACCAAAAATTATGTTGCCAGATTTTGATGCAGAATTGATATAGAGGCCAAACCATGAACAAAAAGCCAAACCTTATGAAAATCGGTTGAGTTTACCGAGTTATGGGGTGGGGAATATTGACCTATGTTTATAAAGGATATTTGAGGGTATCATTTTGACATGAATTTTGACCAAAAATTATGTTGCCAGATTTTGATGCAGAATTGATATAGAGGACAAACCATGAACAAAAAACCAAACCTTATGAAAATCGGTTAAGTTTTGACCGAGTTATGGGGGTGGGAAATATTGACCTATGTCTATACAGGATATTTGAGGGTATCATTTTGACATGAATTTTGACCAAAAATTATGTTGCCAGATTTTGATGCAGAATTGATATAGAGGCCAAACCATGAACAAAAAACCAAACCTTATGAAAATCGGTTGATTTTTGACCGAGTTATGGGGGTGTGAAATATTGACCTATGTCTATGTAGGATATTTGAGGGTGTCCATTTTGACATGAATTTTGACCAAAAATTATGTTGCCAGATTTTGATGCAGAATTGATATAGAGGCCAAACCATGAACAAAAAACCAAACCTTATGAAAATCGGTTAAGTTTTGACCGAGTTATGGGGGTGGGAAATATTGACCTATGTCTATAAAGGATATTTGAGGGTATCATTTTGACATGAATTTCGACCAAAAATTATGTTGCCAGATTTTGATGCAGAATTGATATAGAGGCCAAACCATGAACAAAAAACCAAACCTTATGAAAATCGGTTGAGTTTTGACCGAGTTTTGGGGGTGGGGAATATTGACCTATGTTTATAAAGGATATTTGAGGGTGTCCATTTTGACATGAATTTTGACCAAAAATTATGTTGCCAGATTTTGATGCAGAATTGATATAGAGGCCAAACCATGAACAAAAAGCCAAACCTTATGAAAATCGGTTGAGTTTTGACCGAGTTATGGGGGTGGGGAATATTGACCTATGTTTATAAAGGATATTTGAGGGTATCATTTTGACATGAATTTTGACCAAAAATTATGTTGCCAGATTTTGATGCAGAATTGATATAGAGGACAAACCATGAACAAAAAACCAAACCTTATGAAAATCGGTTAAGTTTTGACCGAGTTATGGGGGTGGGAAATATTGACCTATGTCTATACAGGATATTTGAGGGTATCATTTTGACATGAATTTTGACCAAAAATTATGTTGCCAGATTTTGATGCAGAATTGATATAGAGGCCAAACCATGAACAAAAAACCAAACCTTATGAAAATCGGTTGATTTTTGACCGAGTTATGGGGGTGTGAAATATTGACCTATGTCTATGTAGGATATTTGAGGGTGTCCATTTTGACATGAATTTTGACCAAAAATTATGTTGCCAGATTTTGATGCAGAATTGATATAGAGGCCAAACCATGAACAAAAAACCAAACCTTATGAAAATCGGTTAAGTTTTGACCGAGTTATGGGGGTGGGAAATATTGACCTATGTCTATACAGGATATTTGAGGGTATCATTTTGACATGAATTTTGACCAAAAATTATGTTGCCAGATTTTGATGCAGAATTGATATAGAGGCCAAACCATGAACAAAAAGCCAAACCTTATGAAAATCGGTTGAGTTTACCGAGTTATGGGGTGGGGAATATTGACCTATGTTTATAAAGGATATTTGAGGGTATCATTTTGACATGAATTTTGACCAAAAATTATGTTGCCAGATTTTGATGCAGAATTGATATAGAGGACAAACCATGAACAAAAAACCAAACCTTATGAAAATCGGTTAAGTTTTGACCGAGTTATGGGGGTGGGAAATATTGACCTATGTCTATACAGGATATTTGA